AGAGTTCGCCCAAACCTCAATTGCATCAGAAAGGCCAGGAATTGCTGTCATGTCACCACCAATTACTTTAAGCGTAAAATCCAGCTTTTTCTGCAAACAACGAATGTACTTGTCATTCTTCCTATAGAGTTTAGGTGTGAGATATGCATGTGAGTAGCCTTATCCCGGTAAAAGTAAGTGACATCTGCACACACACGGGAAATGCAGAACTAAGACAGTAGCACTTACAAAAGAGTTGAGATTCTTTTTATAAATGTTAATCACACTGATTTGTTTAATTTAAAACAAAAGAAATAGCTTTAGCTTCAATTCTGGATTGTGTAAATAACATGCTTAATTTTCTTTTATTTTAAGTATCAACATGATGCCAAATTGTTCAAGGGTAAGTATCAATAATATGCTTAAATTGATCTATGTGCATGTATGCACCAAAGTGATACACAGGCAAATGAAGGATAAAAGAAAATTTGAGGTTTATACACCTTCTGCCTTAGAGAATAACATACAGCTCCGAAGCAAGGAAACTCATCAACAAGTGGCCTGAAGATGAGCCTGAAAATACCAGTAAACGCGATGTTTTTCACCTAAATGAAAGGAGAACAATAATCACAAAGTTAAAATCAGATTCATAAGAGTTTGACCATAGCAAGATACAAATATTTCAGGAACCAAAATATAAACTTGTGTGGATAAATTACTGGCGTCTTCAATTATTCACTCTTAAACCGTGCAACTCTTCTAGATTACTATTAAGGACGTATCACAGGGAATAAAATGACATTAACTTTTCATTTTGTGCTCAGCCCAAGAAAAACACAAAAGCACAAGCATGTCCATGAAAATCATATGCGATAACTAGCAAGTGTAAGCCACAAATACAGACTAGTCAAGCTGAAACAGTTGTTTGTTCCCATTTCAACAAGCTCTTATAGAAAACATATTCGATAAGTACAAGCTCTTTCAGAAACAATAGACGCAGGCTTGAGGACATCATGTAATACCAGTGGGTTCTTCAATTTGAGTATTCAAAGAGATAACAGAAACATTTGCATCTCAGCAGAAATATCATGTGAAGCAGTTAAAGTATGTGTCACAGCTCTGAGGTGAAAGTATGTTGTTCGGATTCTTCAAAAAATGTCGACGGGTGCGTGCCAGATACTCCAAAAGTAGTGCAACGTTGGAGAATCCGACACGGGTGCGGCTACATTTTTGGAGAGTCCGGGCAACATATGGTGAAACTAATTACCTGCACTGGTAATGCTACACCAACATAAGTCATGATATCGAGTATTATGCTTGGATTCCCATCCCATTGCATCTCTAATTCCATAGTAATACCCTCATTTCCATCTTCAATAATAGAAATCCCTGCAGTGGCATATATATGAGATCAAGCAATTGTTAAATGTAACAATAGTCATCCTCACAAGCAGTTTCTTTTATTAAGGATCAACTGATACGAGATGATAAGATTTCTCTTTGAGGATTGAATATCTTTTATACCCCAGCCTGTCTCAAATTATTTGTCACATTTTGACATCTCAAGAGGCTATAAATGGCAGGAAAATGTTATGCCATTTTTTTAGATGGCGGTGGTGTCCGTGCAGGGAAATGTTATTGTTGAATGCCTTGAATCAAACCCGTTACAACCGGAAAGGACAGGGGTCTCGCTGCCCGGTCAGCGAGTCCGGGGGTCCAGGGGGGCGACGCGCCCCCTGGCCTGGGGTCCGGGGGGCGCGGAGACGCCCCCGGCCAGACGGTATACAATATTGTTGTATTGGGCCCTTAATTATCTGTCAATTCTGTATGTTGGGCCCAAGCCTTTTAGGGCGTAGCTTAGCACTATATATAGACGCTATGACAAATCCTATTCTGTAATTCTGTTCTTGCCTCTCCATAATAAAACTGCTCCCCCTCTTCCCGTGGACGTAGCCAATTTATTGGTGAACCACGTAAATCTGTTGTCTTGGTTTTCGCGTTTATATTTTCTCGTATTATATCAAATTCCGCATAACAGTTATGCTACTCCAAACATAAGCATGCCATGAAGACCGAGAGGACTGATAAGTTTGTTCATATGTATAAGTGACTCCTAAAACTCTAAGGTAGTACAATATGCAAGAGCTTTGAGACATGTTACGCCAGTCATCGTCTACTAACCTGTAAATTGTGGAGCAACTGTACCAAGAGTGAACTTGGAAAATTTCAAAGACGCCAAAATCACAGGCCTATATTGTTCCAAAATTGGCTCAACACTTGACTTCACTAGTTCTGATGCTGCCTGAATGACCATATATACCGATACCGACTCAATTAGCAACAAAGAAGTCCAACATCACAAATTAGAACCAAAAAAAGGGGGAAATGGAAAATTGCAGAATCGCAATAGAGTGGAAAACCAAACTATGTACAGACATTGAACCCCTAACCTCATCCACATACGGCCAGATCTTTTCAAGATGAGAATTAAGCCATGCCAACTGTAAGAACAAAATTGAAAAATTAACAAGGTCATTTTTTGCCCTCAACAAACTAAACCACAACATGTATTCTAGATAGAAATTAAACAAAGTCCATAAAGGGAAAGTCTTGCAACCAAAGACCACAATTTGAAACACGATGCACAAATTTAATCTCAACGATGTTATATGGTCACTATGTGCTCCAAAAACAGATAAGGACATTAACGGTGTGTTTGTAATCTCATTTTTTCTGATTTTGGCTGCTAGAACATATATTTTGTGAAGATATTTTCCACCAAAAAGGAGCAAACAATTATCTCAACATATAGACATTATTATCAATCTTTACTACTCGAATATTTTTCACCAAAACACTATCCGATTTGCTTATTCAATCTTCAATAAATGTCCTTCTCCCAGAAAAAGAATTCCATTCTCTAACTAAACACGAAAAACATTTTCCAGAAAATAAGTTTACAAATTTATGATAAATGACATTGCTTTAGCTAAAACTACCACAAAATCCAGTAGCTTTGGTTTAACAATATATTAATATTATAAGATACAAAAATAGTCTTTTCAGTCAATATTGCTAGACTCTTCAAAAATGGTGAGTGTATAATTTTCAGAAACCCAACAAAGCAAAAAGAACTGTGGTCTAGAACCCATATAGACTAAAAATTCTGACTTCACCTCTACAACTTACCAAATACATAAAAAGTTAAAGACTTCACCTTTTGCTGATTTGAGAAAACAACCCAAGAAGGGTATTGTTCTGGTGTAAAGATTTTTCTTGAATCTTCCACTGTCATTCTAGCAAATGCAGCAATTCCACTAGCCTTCACAATTCAACCAAAAAAACAACATAAATACAAAATTAAAAAAAATCCAAAAAAATTGAAGTTAAAAAAAAAACAAAGACTTTAGTTGACTAACCAGATCAGTACGCTGTTTGGATCTAGCATTTTCAGATTTCACAAAAGCAACTATTATAGCAAGTCCAAATGCTATTCCAAACACAACCCCTAAAACAAATGACATTTTTATCCCACTTTTTCTTAAATCCCCTCTTCCTTGTTCAATGATTTCTATAAGCTAATAAACTGAAAAAATTCGAAAAGATCTAAAAAAAAGGTGAGATTTTGAATCTGTTTTTGGAGTTTTCTTCTTATGGGGTTTTCCTAAAAGATGAATTCTTGAAAAAACTTACATCTTGAGATTCACTAAAACTTAAAATTGTTCAAAGAAAAACTCAAAGTTGGGATCTTTAATCAGTTTTTTGAAGTTTTCTTCTGGTGGGGTTCTTCCAACAGGTAAATTCTTGCCAAAAATAAAAAAACAATCAAAAAGTATATCTTGAGACTCAATGAAAGTTGGAATATGTATTGAAAAATAATTTCGTTTTAATTTGTTTATCTAGATTTTATCGACTTGATATCAGTTTAAGAAAGTGAAAAGTTGTTGTATATAAATAAAGAAGAACTTTTAATGATATAATACTAAATTAAAGTTATATACTATAAAAGATTAAAATATTATTAATATTATAGTCTTAAATAACGTATATTACGCGAAATGTTGAAACTAAAAAGATAATTAAAATTATTTTTTTTGAAACAAATTAAAGTATAAAATATGATAAATAAGTTAAAACAAAAATATATTTCTATAAAATAAATTGAATAAAAACAAATTAAAACGGTGAAAATACATTTTTTCCAATTTTCTTTCTTGTTATAATCAAAGCTTTGAACGGCCATAACCAGACAAAGATACTTTAATTGTTTTCAAAGTGTCCAAAACTAAAATTAGGAAAAAAAAATAGGAATGTCATTTTTCTAACAGGTGAGTTGACTTTTTCTAACCAATTATATTTTGCCATGTAGTCAAAAATTATATAAAGTTTTAATTTGTCTTTCTTAATTTTTAAATAATTTGATTATATTTCTCGTTTTGTTAAAACTAAATTAAATTTTGGGAATAAGTCTATTTAGTCCATCAAAAATAACTTTCACATGTAGTTTTGTATAGAACACGTTGCCCTTTTAAAAAAACTTTTTCCTTATTGATAATTAAATAATATGAAATAGTTGTTGAACAATCAGAGACATAATTTTCGTTAATAAAGTATAAATAATATACGTAAAAAATCTATCAGAATCAAAATCTTGAAAATTAATACTGAGTTACGGATCATTTTAAGGCTGATTTATGTATAGAAAGATGCAGAACCACAAAATTATTAGCCAATTCTGTAGTTTTGGGTACTCTTCTAAATAAAAAAAAATTAACTTTCTAATATCAAGTGATTTCAATCATAAACCAAACTGATCTATTTGCGTTTTTTCTGTTTTGTTATGCTGATGAGCTATGTTGTTCTGATTCTCCTAAAAAGAAAATGATGTTGCGTTTGTGTTGGTTTCATAAAAAAATGCACTACTTCTGAAGAATTCAATACGTAGCCGTTGACATTTTTGAAAAAATCTAAAAGTGATATAGCTAATGAGTGTGGCTGTGTAGAATACTTCTGTCAATTTGAAACAGAAGCAAACTAACATAACTTGAATAACCATTGATAGTAAAATAACACACATATAATTATTTTTCTAATAAACAACAAATAGAAAATTAAAAATGATAAAACAGAACAGTTCAGTAATTAGTCCACAAAATCAAACAAAGACAAGTTGGCCCTCTCAATCTTCCATTAAGTCCGTCGTCTCAGAGCTCTCTTCTTTGTCCTTCTTCTTTTGTGAGGCATGAGTCCATCGAAAAACTCAACAAACCATATTGGCTTACGATATTTAAACATGAAACTCCACATGACAGTTCCAACAACTAGTCCACAGCTATAGCCTATGACTACTGATTCCCACGTAAATCCACTAAAAAAATACGACTCTGATGGTTGAGGAACATGTGATGAACCGCTCGTTCCACATTGCTTGGATAAAGGAAGACCACATAAATCAAGGTTTCCACCATACGAGTCATTCGAAAATGTGTTGAATTGTAGACCTTGAGGAATCGGACCGACAAGAACATTCTGAGAGAGGTTTAAGACTGCTAGAAATTTTAGTCTTGTCAATTCAGTCGGAATATTTCCAGTGAGCCGATTCCAGGAGAGATCCATTGCTTCAAGCACATTCAATTGTCCCAATTCGATTGGAATATCACCTTTGAGATTGTTACGGGATAAATTGAGTAACCGAAGTGAGCTGAGATCCTTTAGTGATTTCGGAATGACACCTTCAAAATGGTTGCTTGAGAGATCTATCGTTGTCATAATAGTGTTGATTCTTTCTAGCTCAATATCATGGCCTTTGATCACCAAACTCACTGAATCTTCATACATCGAATATTCACTCAATTGTTCCATATATTTGATCTCACCTTTGTCTCCGTCATCTAATTTAATCATCGCACTGAAGTTCTCAAAAAGTCTTGCAGGTAGTGAGCCGCTAAATTTGTTACAAGAGAGATCAAAAATCCGCAACTTGGGAAAGTAAAACTTCTTCCTACTACTTAAATGTCCATGGAACTTGTTCGACTTCAATATAAGGACCTGCAGCTCTTGAAGCATTCCGAGCCAAGCTGGAAATGTGTCATTTATAGCGTTGTTACCCACATCAAAGATTTCTAAACGAAAACAGTTGAGTAATGACATTGGAACAGTTCCTTCAAATCGATTACCATTTACAAGAATGGTACTCAATAAAGTGCTGTGTGCACAAAACGGTGGAAGACTCCCAATGAAATTATTTCTTCTTAAGTCTAGCACGGATAGCTCAACCATGCTGCCCAAGCAATGTGTAATCGAGCCACTGAAGTTGTTGTGTGATAAATCTAAAAGGCTAAGATTGCTCATGTTACAAATGGATGAAGGTAGTGGACCGTGAAGGGAGTTAAATTTCAGATCAAGATACCCTAGATTATGGAAATGCAATTGTGGTAGGTAGCCTGTTAATGAATTATATGAAAGGTTCAGAAACCGCAATGAGTCCCACTTCATACCGCTAAACCAGTCAGGGATTTGACCATGAATCTTATTGTTAGAAATATCCAGCACCGTCAGTGTCTTTACATTTCTCAAGAAATGTGGAAAATCCTTCAGTTCACAAGATGATAAGAACAAAGATGATAGGCTAGGAAAGGTGATGTTTATTCCCTCATCAACGGTGATGTTATTTGATGAAATTCCAAGGGTTACAAGATTTGTGAGATTCACAAGTGATTGAGGAAAAGAACCACTGAGTTGATTATGGCTTAAATGCAGGTCTTTTAATGTTGGGTTTGCTTTGATCACTTCATCGGTTAGTCCTCTGAATCGGTTATGTTGGAGCGACACTGAAGATAGCAAAGGTAGGCTAAATACCCAAGATGGTATGGTACCATTCAGTGAGTTGTATGAAAAATCCAGCTCGGTTAGGTTTGGAAGCATGCCTGCGTTGCTAGGCAGTGGGCCAGATAGGGAATTACTCGACAATCCTAAGTATTCAAGATGTGTCAAACTTAAAATTGAAGAGGGAAATGGACCGATGAATCTGTTTTTAGAAAGATCTAAATGACGTAGCTCTTGGAGGTTAGAGAAAACGTCTGGAATTTCACCTGAAAAAGAGTTGGATAAAAGATCCAAACTTGTCAGCTGTTTCAATTTAGAGATTGTTGAAGGAATATGGCCAGTGAAAAGATTATGAGATAAAATCAACTCCCTAATTTCGGTTAGGTTGCCAACGGAATCTGGAATGGAACCCGAGAATTGACATTGTTGGAGGTTTAAGTATTTCAATGAACTCAAGGTGCCAATTGAATCAGGAATCTCACCGGAGATGCCAGTGTATGCAATACTCAACTCCAACAGAGTTCTGCTTGGGTGGATCTTTGGAAAAACTCCTTTGAGAAGATCATTGTTACTCAAATAGAGCATTTCCAAGTTTGGCAGAAGGAAAAAGTTCTCCGTGAGAGCACCTTGCAGATTAGTATCGTAAAGATCAACGTACCTTAAGGAGGAAGAAGAGATATTGACAGGTATCGGAGAAGAGATGTTGACAAGAAAGAGAGAAAGTAGCTCCAGATTTGTGAAGTTGTGAAGCATTGCCTCAAATGTTCTCTCATTAAGTTGTAATCCAAAACCATAAGAAAGATCAAGGGAAACCAAATTAGAAAGGTATGAGATTTCTGTTGGGATTTTCCCATCGAAGGTAAAATAAGAAAGGTTGAGATGCCTCAAATTCGTCAATCGGCCAATGTTATGTGGGATCAAAGAAGGATAAAAGTCATTGTAAGCAAGATTTAGTGTCTGCAGATGATGAAGTTGGAAGAGACTGCTATTGGGATGAAAATTGCCAACAAGCTGACTACAACTAAGGTCCAGGCCAATAACATGACCGGTTAACACGTCACAAGTAACTCCGTCCCAAGTACAACAATCTTTACTCTCATTCCAAGACTTTGTTTTTGGGAAAGAAGTATCACACAGGGAGTAGTCGGATTTAACTTGTAAGGATTGCTTAAACTGAAGCAAAGCGGAAGCTTCAGTGGGAGAGCAAAGATGATGATCAAAGGAAGACGAAAAGCACAGACTTATTAGCAACACAAAACAGATAAATGAATAATAGAAAAACAGACTCATGACCATTTTTTTTGTTGGTTTGTTTTCAGCAAATAACAGGATGGATGTTCTCTTCTTACAAATCAATCAGCATTAACCATATATACTAGTTCTGGAACACGTGTGCTGCACGTGCATTCTATGTTAATTAGAACAAATTGTTGAAATAATAGAATAAGAAATAAACATATCCAGACAAATAAAATTGGGTGCTTGCCCCACATCTACCACTAACTATCCAGAATAGGTTGTAAAAAAGTTCAAGTCATTTTCCAGAAAGACTCTCAAAGTCTTTAAGTCTTGGTTGATGGTATCAATTTCCAAATTTGGCATAAATTGAGAAAAGAATAATATAACTTTGACATCACTAACTACGCAACTTGTGGTCGTACTACTCACTTTTAACAATTTGTTACTTCATATTTTGTATTGTTCCACAAAACTTTTTAGAGGACGGTAACAAAATAATTCTCTAGATGATGTTGTTGTTCATTTCGAGTTCATATATTATCTCTGCAGTGTGTGTTACGCAAGATGATGTGAAATTGGTCCTGTTACGTAACACTCACTATAAAAAAAATCTTCTTGATCTTGACTAAGTCAACTGAGAAAAAGAGAAAAAACAACAGTTAAAGACATGATTTGACTCCTCCATTTTCTTGACTCCTACTTAGAGTATGTAACAAAACGATGATACCGTGTGGAATTTTGAAGTAAATTGAACCAATAAGTGGTCCAATTTTGTACATTCGACATACTCAAATATTTGAGATAATATCTCAGATGCACATAACTAATTAATACTCATATTACTAATACCCGCACAAATAATACCTACGTTATTAATACAAGCATAACTATATCCACTTACCAAACGACCCCAAACTATGCACAACTTGTGGTCCATGAATGACTACTAACAACTTGTTACTCATATTTTGTAGTGTTTCACAAGACTTGTTAGAGGACGGAGAAGATTTAACCCTTAACTAATTTTCTCTAGATTTTGTGTTCATTTAAGGTCATCCACTATCTCTGCGGTGTGTGTTACAAAAGATGGTGTGAAATTGACCCCGTAAGTCTGCAGAAGTTGTCACAAATTTCCAATAAGAGAAACTACTGCTTGACTAAGTCAAGTGACAAAAAAGAAATGAAGAATAATTAAAGACATGATTTAAGTTCTCCATTTTATTCAAAATTTTGTGGAAGCAATGAACCATTGAATTCATTACGAGAATAATAAATTGAGGCTTAGTGACTTTCTATGAAAAGAACTATTAGTTGAGTGTCTGGCTATTAAAAAAAGACATAGTTAAGTGACTTTGATGTTATGAGTGAAAGTTGAGTGACAATGAGAGATATTAACTCATTGAAGTTCCCTACATCAAAGACACATAAAAATAAAAAGTGAGCTGAGATCCGTTAATGTTTTCGAAATGACACCTTCAAAATGGTTGCTTGAGAGATCTACGGCTGTCACAATTCTTCTGATTCTTTCTAGCTCAATATTGTTTCCTTTGATCACCAACCACACTGAATCCTCATACACTCCGTTAACATATCCAGTAAGACTCCATGGTTCCGTATATTCAATCTCACCTTTGTTTCTGTCTCCTAATTTGATCATCGCTTTGAAGTTTCGAAAAACTTTTGCAGGCAGTGAGCCACTGAACTCATTATGAGCGAGATAAAATATTCGCAACTTGGGAAAGCAAAACTTTTGCCTTGTACTTACAGGTCCATGGAACTTGTTCAACTTTAATATTATAAGGATCTGCAACTCCCGAAGAGTTCTTAGCCAAGCTGGAAATGTACCATTTATGACATCGGGACACGCCCTTCAAATCGATTACCATTTAAGACAATGGTACTCAATGAAGTGCCGTGCGCACATAATGGTGGAAGACATCCTGTGAAATTGTTCCTTCGCAAGTTTAGTACCAATAGGTAAGACATGTTCACTAAGCAATGTGGAACCGAGTCAGTAAAGTAGTTATGTGATAAATCTAGAATATTAGGGCTGCTCATGTTACAAATGGATGAAGGTAGTGGACCCTGAAGAAAGTTAAATTTAAGATCAAGAGACTCTAGACTATAATAATGAAATTGTTGTAGATGGCCTACTAATGAATTATGCGACAGGTTTAGGAACCACAACGATTCCCACCTCTGGCTGCTAAACCAGTTAGGTATTTGACCATGAATCTTATTATTAGAAATATCCAAGAACTCGAGTGTCTTTACATTTCTCAAGAAGTGTGGAAATTCCTTCAGTTTACAAGAGGGTAACTGCAAAACTACTAGGATAGGAAAGGTGATATTTATTCCCGCATCACCGGTGATGTTATTTGATGAAAGGTCAAGGCTATACAGGTCTTCTAATACTGGATATTTTCTGAGCACATCACATATTCCACTAAATCGATTATGATTGAACCTCAACTCAAGAAAACAAATATTAAAGACCCAAGAGAGTATTGTGCCATTCAATGAGTTGTATGAAAAATCCAGTTCAGTTAGCTTTTGAAGCATGCTGGCATTGCTAGGCAGTGGAACAGATAGGGAATTACTCGATATGTTTAAGCTTTGAAGATGTGTCAAGCTTACAATTGAATAGGAAAACAGACCGATGAAGCTGTTATAGACAGATCTATATAACAAACTAACATAACATGAATAACACAAATACAATTATGTTTCTATCAAACATATACAAACAACAGACAGAAAGTTGAAAAGATAAAAACAGAACCAGAAAACTTCACTAATTAGTCCACAAAATTAAACAAAGACAACTTGGCCCCTCTCAATCTTCCATTAAGTCATCGTCTCTGAGCTCTCTTTTTCGGCCTTCTTCTTTTGTGAGGCATCAGTCCATCAAAAAATTCCACAAACCATTTTGGCTTGCGATATTTAAACATGAGACTCCACATGACTGTTCCAACAACTAGTCCAAAACTGTAGCCTATGACTACTGATTCCCAAGTAAATCCACTGAAAAAATATGACTCGTCTTTATCTTCTGGTTGAGGAACATGCGATGAATCACTCGTTCCACATTTGTTAGTTAAAGGAACACCGCATAAATCAAGGTTGCCACCATATGAGTCATTTTCAAATGTGTTGAACTGTCGACCTTGAGGAATTGGTCCCATGAGATGATTTTGAGAGAGGTTTAAGATGGCCAGAAAGTTCAGTCTTGTCAATTCCTGTGGAATCTTTCCAGTCAGCCGATTCCAAGAGAGATCTAAAGCTTCAAGCATATTCAATTGCCCCAATTCCATTGGAATATGACCTATGAGATTGTTATGAGATAAATTGAGTAGCCAAAGTGACCTGAGATCCTTTAGTGTTTTCGGAATGACACCTTCAAAATGGTTGCTTGAGAGATCTATGGTTGTCGTAATTGTGCTGATTCTTTGTAGCTCAAAATCCTGCCCTTTGATTACCAAACTCACTGAATTCTCATACGATGTGACAAATGGCGAATTCAACAGAGATGTCATGTACTTGATATTTCCTCTGTCTTCACCATCTAATTTGATCATTGCCTTGAAGTTTCCAAAAACTTTTGCAGGAAGTGAGCCACTGAAATCATTACGAGAAAGATCAAAAATTCGCAACTTGGGAAAGCAAAACTCAGTCTGACACATACTTATAGGTCCATGGAACTTGTTCGACTTTAATATAAGGACCTGCAGCTCTTGAAGAATTCCGAGCCAAGCTGGAAATGTGTCATTTATAGCATTGTTCCCCACATCAAGGACTTCTAGACCATTACACTTGAGCAATGACACAGGAACAGGTCCTTCAAATCGATTACCATTTACGACAATGGTACTCAATGAAGTGCTCTGTGCACATAATGGAGGAAGATTCCCTGTGAGATTGTTCCTTCTTAAGTCCAGCGCCGCTAGTAAATCCAAGCTTCCCAAGCAATGTGGAACAGAATCACTGAAGTAGTTATGTGATAAATCTAATAAGATAAGTTTGCTCATGTTACAAATGGATGAAGGTAGTGGACCCTGAAGGGAGTTAAATTTCAGATCAAGATACTCTAGACTATAGTAATGAAACTGTGGTAGGTGGCCTGTTAATGAATTATGAGAAAGGTTTAGGAACTGCAACGAGTTCCACCACATGCCGCTAAACCAGTTAGGAATTTCACCACAAATCTTATTGTTAGAAATATCCAAGTACACAAGTGTGTTTATATTTCTCAAGAAGTGTGGAAAATGCTTCAGTTGACAAGATGATAAGAATAAAGATGATAGGCTAAGAAAGGTGATATTCATTCCCTCATCAATGGTGATGTTATTTGATGAAATTCCAAGGGTTACAAGATTTGTGAGATTCACAAGTGATTGAGGAAAAGAACCACTGAGTTGATTATTGCTTAAATGCAGTTCATATAATGTTGGGTTTATTTTGATCACTTCATCGGCTATTCCTCTGAATTGGTTATGTTGGAGAGACACTGAATAAATCATAGGTAGGCTAAACACCCAAGATGGTATGGTACCATTCAGTGAGTTGAAAGACAAATCCACAGAAACTAGCTCTTGAAGGATGCTCACATTATTAGGAAGTGGGCCAGATAGGGAATTATTCGACATGTATAAATATTTAAGACATGTCAAACTTAAAATTGAAACGGGAAACAAACCGATGAAGCTGTTTTTAGAAAGCTCTAAATAATATAGATCTTGGAGGTTAGAGAAAACATCAGGAATATTGCCAGTGAAATGATTATTAGATAAATATAACTTTGTAATTAGTGTTAGGTTGCCTATGGAATCAGGAATGGAACCAGAGAATTGACATCCATAGAGGTTCAAGATATTCAAGGAACTGAAGTTGCCAATTGAATCTGGCAGCTCACCAGAGATGCCTGTGTATGAAATATCCAACTCCATTAACAGAGTGTTGCTCCGGTGTACCTTTGGAAATACTCCTTTGAGAAGATTATTCCCACTCAATTTGAGCGTTTCCAAGCTGTTTGGAACAAGGAAAAAGCTCTCTGTGAGAACACCTCGCAGATTAGTATTATCAAGATCCAAGTGCCTTAAAGAAGAAGAAATATTGAGAGGTATCGGAGATGAGATGTCGACGTCAGAGAGAGAAAGTAGCTCCAGATTTGTCAAGTTGTGAAGCATTGTTTCAAATGTTCTCTCATCAAGTTTTAATGCATAACTATTAGAAAGATCAAGTGAAACCAAATTGGAAAGGTATGAGATTTCTGTTGGGATTTGTCCATCAAAGTCAGAGAGTATCAGATGCCTCAAATTCGTCAATCGGCCAATGCCATTTGGGATTGAAAAAGGAGGAAAGTAATTGCAAGCAAGGTTTAGTGTGTGGAGATGATGAAGCTGGAAGAGGCTGCTATTGGGATGAATGGGTGATGAGATGCTGCCAAGAGGGAGAGCTAGTAACTCAAGATTTGTAAAGTTTTGAAGCATTGTTTCAAATGTTCTCTCATCAAGTTCTAATGCATAACTATTAGAAAGATCAAGTGAAACCAAATTGGAAAGGTATGATATTTCTGTTGGGATTTTTCCATCAAAGCCAAGGAGTATCAGATGCCTCAAATTCCTCAATCGGCCAATGCCATTTGGGATTGAAAAAGGAGGAAAGTAATCGTTATAAAGGTTTAGTGTGTGGAGATGATGAAGCTGGAAGAGGCTGCTATTGGGATGAATGGGTGATGAGATGTTGCCAAGAGAGAGAGCTAGTAACTCAAGATTTGTCAAGTTGTGAAGCATTGTTTCAAATGTTCTCTCATCAAGTTGTAATCTATGATAACTATTAGAAAGATCAAGTGAAACCAAATTGGAAAGGTATGATATTTCTGTTGGGATTTTCCCTTGAAACCAAGCATCAGAAAGGTTGAGATGCCTCAAATTCCTCAATTGGCTAATGTTCTGTGGGATCGAAGAAGGATAAAAGTCATTGTAAGCAAGGTTTAGTGTTTGGAGATGATGAAGTTGGAAGAGGCTGCTATTGGGATGAAAAGTGCCAACAATCTGACTGCAACTAAGGTCTAAACCGATAACATGACCGTTTAACAAGTCACAAGTGACTCCATCCCAACTGCAGCAATCCCTACTCTCATTCCAAGACTTTGTTTTTGGGAAACAAGTTCCATCACAGAAATAATTACAGGACATAATTTGAAAGGATTGTTTGAACTGAAGCAAAGCGGAAGCTTCAGTGGGAGAGCAAAGATGATGATCAAAGGAAGAAGAAAAGCATTCATTTATTAGCAACACAAAACAGAGAAATGAATAAAAGAAAAAGAAACGTCCCATTTTTTGTTTGTTTGTTTTCAGCAAATAACAGGATGTTTGTTCTCATTTTACAAATCAAAGGGCAGGATATATATATAATAGTTTCAGTTGTCATACATAAATTGAATACCTATAGGCTATAACCTACTGATTAATGTAATCATACGAGTAAAGTTTCGAGAAGGTACGATATACACAAACTTTTATGAAGTAAGAATACAGAGATCAAAAAATTTCAACAAAAAAAATATAATATGAAGTTAGAATAATAAAATCTTACTCAAAACATTAAGACAATGGTATTGAAATAATTGCGTTGAATTAATAAGTTGATATAATAATATTAAAGTAGTATTGATTTCATTATATAAAAAATGATCTATAATGGCAATTGATTAAGATTACTTGCCCCTAAATATGCATTTTTAACTGCAATTAACACTCTTTGCATATGTCCCTAAACCCTTTAGCGATATTGGATCTAATGATACTAAACTGTTGAATGCCTTGAATCGGACCCGCTACAAACAGAAAGGACGGGGGTCTGGTCATACAGCCTTCGGGGAGAAAGATTATTACTTGCAAATGGGTTTTCAAGAAGAAGGAAGGGATATCACCAGCAGAAGGAGTCAAGTATAAAGCCAGGGTTGTTGCCAGAGGTTTCAACCAAAGAGAGGGAGTGGACTACAATGAGATCTTCTCACCAGTGGTCAGACATACTTCCATCCGAGTGTTACTAGCGATAGTTGCACATCAGAATCTGGAGCTTGAACAACTTGATGTGAAGACAGCGTTTCTACATGGAGAGTTGGAGGAAGAGATATACATGACTCAGCCGGATGGTTTCCAAGTTCCAGGGAAGGAAAATCACGTCTGCAAGTTGAAGAAGTCCTTATATGGACTTAAGCAGTCTCCAAGGCAGTGGTATAAAAGGTTTGACAGCTATATGGTGAAGTTGGGCTATACACGGAGCTCATATGATTGTTGTGTCTACTACAATAGGCTCAATGATGATTCATTCATCTATCTGGTGCTTTATGTAGATGATATGTTGATAGCTGCAAAGAAGAAGTATGACATTCAGAAGCTGAAGGGTTTACTTAGTGCTGAGTTTGAGATGAAGGATCTGGGAGCCGCTCGGAAGATTTTAGGGATGGAGATCATTAGAGACAGAGAGAGAAGGAAACTTTTCTTGTCACAGAGAAGCTATATTCAGAAGGTCTTGGCGAGGTTTGGCATGTCTTCATCTAATCCCATTGATACCCCCAGTGCTGCCAATATCCATCTCACTGCCATGTTCGCTCCACAGTCAGAAGAAGAGAAGAAGTATATGTCACGAGTCCCTTATGCCAGTGCCGTAGGAAGTTTGATGTATGCTATGGTCTGTACAAGGCCAGATTTAGCACATGCAGTCAGTGTAGTGAGCAGATTCATGGGACAACCAGGGAGAGAACATTGGCAGGCTGTGAAGAGAATTTTCCGGTACCTTAGAGGTACATCTGACGTTGGTCTCATTTATGGAGGTGATACTCAGTGCTTGGTTACTGGCTATTCTGATTCAGACTATGCTGGAGATGTTGACACAAGAAGATCGATGACTGGCTATGTGTTTACCCTTGGAGGATCTGTCGTCAGTTGGAAGGCAACTTTGCAACCTACAGTGACTTTGTCTACTACGGAAGCGGAGTACATGGCCTTGACAGAGGCTGCAAAAGAAGGGATTTGGTTGAAAGGGCTGGTTAGTGATCTTGGTCTGCATCATGATCAGGCTACGGTGTATTGTGACAGTTTGAGCGCAATTTGTCTAGCCAAGGATCAAGTCCATCATGAGAGAACCAAGCATATTGACGTAAGGTATCATTTTCTAAGAAGTGAGAAGAGAATCAAGGTGAAGAAAGTAGGAACTGCTGATAATCCTGCTGATATGTTCACAAAGCCGGTTCCACAGAGCAAGTTTCAACACTGTTTGGACTTGCTCAACATCAGAAGCTGTTAATTGCCCTGCGGGGCAACTCTGAGGAAGAGGGGGAGGCTTGGCACTATCATAGTGCGTCTGAAGAATCTGTTCGGAGAATTCAAGTCAAGGTGGAGATTTGTTGAATGCCTTGAATCGGACCCGCTACAAACAGAATGCCTTGTATTGGGCCCTTAATTTTCTGTTGATTCTGTATGTTGGGCCCAAGCCTGTCAGGGCGTAGCTTAGCACTATATATAGACGCTATGGGAAACCCTATTCTGTAATTCTGTTTTTGCCTCTCCATAATAAAACTGCTCCCTCTCTTCCCGTGGACGTAGCCAATTTATTGGTGAACCACGTAAATCTGTTGTCTTGTTTTTCGCGTTTATATTTTCTCGTATTATCTCAAATTCCGCACAACATAAACTAATACCGATAAAAATCTTTAACACTCTTTATTAATGTATATATTTATTTTACATAATGCAAAAAGTTTTACCGTTTGATAGACTTGAGAATATTTAATAAAAAAAAAGGTAAAAATAATAATATGGATTCATGTTGATCGTCAATATAGAAATAAGTCATTTAAATAAGTAGCCAGGTGAGAAAGGCTGTTATAATTAACTTGCTGTTATTCGATTTCTTAATTATTACAACAATATCCACATTTCATAAAGTAACATTGTTGACTTGTCTATGCATGGGACAATGAGGTATAAAATGGGGTACAAATTAATTTGAAGTCTTTTAAATCAGTCTTGTTTGGTAGTACCAATTATACAATATTTGTTTTTATGAGAACATAATACAACTTTTACATCACCAACTACGTAATTTGTGGTCCATGGATGAGTACTAGTCACTTCTAACAACTTGTAATTACTCGTACTCCCTATGTCCTCATTTTCTCTAGATGTTGTTCATTTTGAGGTCATCAACTATCTCTACAGTCTGTGTTTTGCAAGATGATGTGAAATTGGTCTCGTAACGTAACATACACTATAGAAAAATTTTCTGCTTGACAAAGTCAATTGAGGAAAAAAAAAACAATTGAAGACATGATTTTACTCCATTTCCTTGACGTCTACTTAGAGTATGTAACAAAATAATAATACTGTGTGAAATTTTGAAGTCACTGAACCAGTTAGTGATCCTTGATATATTCGACATATCTTTAATTTGACATCACAAGATATAAACGTTTCTTTATTTTTTTTTACTTTCATATCAACTCAATTCAGATAGATAAATTGAAACGAAAGGTGTTGTATCTAATTGCATGAAATGATACCAAGTCAATTTAGAAAAAAGTAATAAAGACGATGATGTTACTCCATATGACACTTTTAATCAATCCAAACCAAGTTGTACGAATGCAATAATTTGGTGCAATTTTTCCATGAAATCTATCCAATATTTCGAGGGAGTAATTAGTTGTCTCTTCTGTTATTTTCAAACTTGTTACTCATATTTTGTAGTGTTCCATAAGACGTGTCAGAGGACGGACTGTGTTCGTTTTAAAGTCATTAACTATTTCTGTAGTGTGTGTTACGCAAGATAATGTGAAATTGGTCCCATCATCATGTAGACAAAAACTTCTGCAAAACTTGTAAGAAATTTCCGATGAGAAAAACTATTGCTTGACTAAGTCAAGTGAGGAAAAAAATGAACAATAATTAAAGACATGATTTAAGTCCTTCATTTCCTCCGTGTGGAATTTTATGTTTGAATAACTTGGTGAAGATCATTCCATCATTAGAGATATTTTGTGAGAAATTTCCGATTAGTTGTCTCTTGTTCTGTTTTCATAGATCCTCGACTCAAGATAAAGGTGTAATGGTCAAATTAAGAAAGATAAATAAAATCATGGAAGAAATTCCACAAACCATTTCGGCTAACCATCTTTAAACATGAGGCTCCAGCTAAACACGATTTTTCTTCGTCTTCGGACTCCAATGGATGATGAACATGTGATGGATCACTCGTGCCATATGAGTTAATTTTCAAATGTGTTGAACTGTGAATCTTGGTAGAAGAAGACTATTGGTTCTTGTAACTTAAATAACAATTAGTTCTTGTAACTCTCATGGTCATTAGTTTTTTTTAACTTATGTAACCTAATGATTAATTTATGTAGCCAAAGTGAGCCAAGATCGATTCCTACTTGATAAATAAACACTCAAATCCTACTTGGTAAAATGCGTGCAATTCACGCCTGTCATAGGTAAAATCGACTGTTTATTTGTTCAAGTTTCGACAAGACTTGTTAGAGGATACAAAAGACTTAAAAAATAATATTCTCTGTCCTAATTTTCATTTCGAGGTCATTAAGTATCATCGCAGTGTGTGTTAGGCAAGATGATGTGAAATTGGTCCCATTATGTGGAAAAATTTTCTGCAGAACTTCTAAGAAATTTCCAATGACAGAAACTATTTCTTGACTAAGTCATTCCAACAGTAGAGATATTTTATGAGAAATTTCCGATTAGTTTATCTCTTGTGCTGTTTTCATAGACCCTCGACTCAACATAAAGGTCATGTAGTGATCAAAATATTTTAAGTCTTCAACTATATTCAATATAAGAAAAAAAAGAGTATTAATATGTTGAAGGAAGGTGTCCTTATGTGGAGCTTTGAACTCTTCAACTAATTCGGAGTTCCTGGAGTTGTACGATGTTGTTGAATTGTTGTATCCTGGAGGGGATAAGCCAAGAGGTATATTACTGGCCATCGGTGTAAATTATGCCGCGATGAGCTTGTATTTCCTTAAAGAGAGCGATATATATGGGCCTCAATCATGAATCGAACTCTATATGTTTATAAATTGCACTTCTTTTTCAATTTTCTTGTATTAATGAACTATGTTGCTTAGACTCTCCTAAAATATGAAGATGTTTCACCAATGTTGGTCCATTGAAAAATACATAACTTTTGAATGCTAAATCATATACTCCATACACTATATTTTTAATTAAATAAATATTATATAACATATAATAAATTATAGAAAATATAACAAATTAAGTGTTTTAAGAAGAAAATACGGAATCTATATAATCATAAAAAGTCAAGACGTGTCATTATGAGATCAATT